TTGTTGTATGTATTCCCAAGTCATGTTGGAAACCAGAATGAGATGCTAAACAACTACTTTGTTCATATATTATCACAAAGTTAAAACATGCATAAAATTGTCATATATAAGCATCAAGATAGTAACTTTTAAATTCAGCAAATATAATGACAGAAAGGTTCAGAAAATAAAATTTTGGGATAACCTTTCTCAACAATAAGGAAATGTTAGCACAGACACAAAAGTCCAAGTTCCAACTGATGTACCATTGGACTGCGGGAAATTTTCATAAAACAGAAAAAATACAACAAAGAATTGAACAAAATGTAGCTAGAAAAACGATATCCTCTGAAGGACAAAATAACAGTTCAATCGACAAGGTTCACCTCATCAACGGTGTTTATGCCCCCATTTATCGTAAATCTTAAGTCTGGAAAGTCACGCAAAAGGCCATAAAAGTACTTGTATCTGCAAATAAAGTAAGATGCGGTCAATAATAAGAAGCAGCATGTTAGCTGTGAATGTGATCTACATATGTTTACAAATATCCAAGCATTTTTAGGATAGCAGTTTTGGGATACGCATACCAGTAAAACATTTCTCTAATAAACATAGGTCAGCTGATTTAATTATAAGTTGACAAAATATGAAATCACACAATACATACTTAAGAGGTGGAATACTTCGATTTTCAGCTGGGCTAATTCCATTGAGTAGTGCCTTCCGTGAATGTATTATGAAATGCCTAGTTGGTGATTGAGAAGAAACCTTGTAAATAAAGTCACCTGAAAAGCAGACAGGTGGTGGCAAAATAAAATGAGGATGCAACTCCTGAAACTAACATAACCATAGCTACAGTCTTTGAAATTCAGATAAGCAACAATATGGAATTAGATTTGCTCAGCAACAAGCACTAAACCAATAAATAATGTTCTACATTTATCATTCAACAGGCCCAATCTGAAAATTATGAGGAAATATGAACAATATTCTTCATTTGGTTCTTGAGAAAACAAGACCATTGAAATGACATGGGAAAGTTCTCATTCTGTTTCTTTTGGCCTGAGGGAAAATCCTCGCTTAAGGTTGTTTTTGCAGGGGAACAATGTTAGGTATTTTGAGTAGGAATGAATCAGTTCTTCAAAATGATTGAAAAAGGCTCCCTTTATGTTTGAGATGGCATATACAGGAACTGGATGAGCCAGATTCATTCAAGTAAGATTAATCAAAGCTTTAAAGCAATGGTACAAATAGTCTTGTGCTCTGATCCTTCTTTTTTTTTTTGAATAGAAACACTTTTTATTCAAAATTGAATGGAAAAAATGATGACATTTAGGACACAGACCAAACAGACACACTTGCCAAAAAACAGACTCAAAGCCACTCAACACAGAAAACCAGCCAGACATAAGACACTCCTTAAGATACTACAGCTAAAAGATTTCGCATAATTGTAGGATAGGATATATCCTTAAAAGCGTGAGAAGTTGATGCCCAAAGAGCAGCCCAAAACTTCACTCTTTCCCATAACTCTACCATTCCCACTCCCTTATAATCCTCGAAAATTCTCCTATTACGTTCCAACCAAAGATTCCAGACCACTGCCTGCATCAAGCTGCCCCATAAAATTTTAGCCTTCTTTCCCCTTCCCAAAGCATCAAAACTGATGGAAAAAAGGTCAAAGCATCCTTTCGGCATATAAGGAATATAAAACAAAAGTGTGGAAAGAGTGTACGCAACAAAATATTGCAATATGCAGTTCCTGTTAACTTTGACTACAAAGCTACATTTTCTTTCCTGCTTCATTTTCTGACTGCTCCAAAATAGTAATACATGTTTCCCTATATAGGAAAATCTAAAAAGCTCTTGCATTTACCTTATCTCTCCAATTTTCATACTCTTTCTTCAGTTTGCTAACTATCCATCTACCTATACTACATTTGACTGTTAAATTTGTTTTTAACATTCTTTTATCCATCCAAAATCAAAGCATAATATATTTGTAAGATGCAAAAAACTATTTGTCCATAGTTTATCATTCACTGGCTCTTCCAATTTCCTTTTCTTTTATATCATAAGAAATATTGAATAGTTTGTTGACTATATAGATAAAATATTCGGACAAAAAGGACCTTACAGAGCTCATTATATGAATCATGATCATCAACACCAATTCGACACTTAACACTGACAGGGGCATCTGTGTGCGCAGCAATCACTGACATAGCCTCAGCAACAAACTTTCCTTGTAAAGACCAAATGTCTTTATCAGAACACAGTGCACAGAAAACAAACACACACACACACACATATATATATATATAACAATATAATGAGAAATGTTATCAAACCTTTGGATCAAGCATAAGTCGAGCACCAAAACACCCATGTCCAGCTACTCTTGGACTCGGACATCCACAACTGGTAAAATATCGAAGGCCACGTAAGGGGTCAAGGAAAAAGAAAAAGAAAGTGAATAGAATTTGGTGAATAAAGAGATAGGTAATAGTAAGTGCACAAACTTAAAATTAATCTCATCGTATTTGTACGGTTCAGCAAGCTCAGTCGCTTTGGCCAGGTTTTCCAAATTATTCCCGCCAATTTGAAGAACAATAGGATGTTGTTCTGGAGAATATTCCAAGAATCTGTCCTGATAAAGAGTCACACTATCAGTTGTCTCAATCCCAACTAATCAGATGCACAAAAGATTCAAGAAATGACAGTAACTGTTAATGGCAGTTCAGAAATTTAAATAAATAAATAAATAACAAAAGAACTTTAATTCGCATTCCAGCCTGCTACCCTTCAGAAAATAAAACATTTACTAAATTGAAGAAGATGGAAATACAAAGGAAAGAATATATAAAAATCTGTACATCCTTTTGTGATATGTGCACACTCAAGACACAAAAGCATTAAAATTGAAATTCCAAACAGTTCCATCATAGTGTATACATTACCAACCAGGCCACTCAACGTCAACCCGTACCTACAAAAAGCATCTTAAGAATTCTACTTGGGACATTTAGCCCCACTCAACTCCAATTTTGAACTTTGAAACTCACAAAGTTTCTCTAGTTTGTCCATTTTGTCTGAAATTGTTGAAAACTTGAAACCGCCACAATCAAAAAATTCCGGCCATATTACCTATCTAAGGTGGTAGGCTCACTAATTAAGAGTACCCTGTCTAGCCTCCTGGCCTACTCTATCTCTCTTTTCTTCCTATCCCAGCGTCAGTCAGTACACAAGTGGTTTGAAAAATTTAAAGGGATTTATTTCAACTAAACACATGGAAGATATTTGTCAAACTTTTCCTTCTATTGGATGACGATCAATAAAAAATAAGCCTAATGTTCTCTTGTGAAAATAAACTTCACATTTTTCACCTAATTATGTTCTTGGTTGAAACTATTTGAAAGCTTTTCGATTCTGAGGTGACACTTCACAATTCTTTCTAGTTTTATCCAAAATGAAGTCCAATATCTCACTTGCGGCTTCCAAAAGCAATTCTAGCAGTGTATTTTCCTAGGGAAAAAAGGTAGCAAACAGAAAAAAGAGAAGCCTACTACATACACAGTACATAAAACAATAAGCCTGCTGGTCCTGCCCCCAAATTGAACTTGAACATACAGTTAGATAAATATGGCTTACCAGATTGTCCTTTTGATAGACAATTGTTTCAGCAGCAAGCATCTCAGTGTAGAGCCATGCGTTCTTTGAAATGAGCCTGGCCAGAGTCCTGTAGTGATTATCAGTCCATTCCATCATAGGAGCAACACTGCAAATTTGAAAACCAAACAACCCAAGTCCACAGAAATTAGCAGCAATTACAAATTGAATGCAATAATAAAGATAATAAATTCAAATAAACTGAAAAGTAGAGTGAGAGAGAGAGAGAGAGAGAGAGAGAGAGAGAGAGAGAGAGAGAGAATAACCTAAACCACGGAGGAGGATAGTGGGCATGGAGGTGGGTCCGAAGGGAAGAAACCATTGCGGCGGGTGTGCTTAGTAGTTGATGGGTTTGAGTGGAAGAAGAAGTGGATGTGGAATTGGATGCGGTTGTTGAAGAAGAAGTACCCTGAAATATATTAAATGACAATTTGCGACGGTTTTTGTGAAGAAAAACAGAATGAATAGGAGTAACTGAGGAATATGAATATGAATATGATGAAGTTGCTAACTTCATTTTTTTCGCTCTATTAATTAACTCACGTTCACAGAACCACAGCCTCCTCCTGCTTGACCTAGTTGAGCTTAAACTCTAGCCTCCACAAACTCGGGCGGGAGGCTGATAGCTTGATAGGGCACTTCTGGTTGAGGAAGACGACGAGGACCAACGGAAAAGGAAAGGTTGGTATCTATTGGACTTGGCGTGGAGAATATTGATTGTCATGACAAAAGTAGCCCAGCCCAGTCTTCAATGGACTGATGAAAAGGGTGTTCTTGCAAGGCCCAATCCAAAAACCGGATAATTCTCGCGGCTCTTTTTTTTTTTTTTTTTTGGGGGGCAGTAGAGTGAAGAGAAAAACTTGCATTCCTAGTTTATATCTCATCTCTCTCGTCAAGTGATAAAAACACCATAGTTTATATCCTGGACTCATGTCCCATTTTGATCTTCACGCAATCTAATTAATCACATTCACTTTGCCGTATATTTTATAATGAGCAATTTATAGGCATTCATTAATGTGAGAGATAACATGATAGATATTTACTGGTTATAAATGAATGAGGTTTGCTGAATTAGTTTGGATGAGAATTTTCAGCCATTTTGGAAAGGAATACAATTCTCATTAAGAAAACAAAAAAACAATGACCATGGGTGGCCAAGACAAGTGTTAGGGTGTCCATAGAATCAACCATTATTCAAAGGATGAGAGCCCAAAACATCTGGTGGCCCATGCTTTGCATGCCATCCAGCTCCCCAGATATATATATGTGGTGGAGAAATAACTGCTAATAACAGTTTCTTGCAGCTCCCCAGATATATATATATGTGGTGGAGAAATAACTGCTAATAACAGTTTCTTGCTAACTCTATCAAAGTGCTCTGCCACTACACTTCCATGGCGAGCTTCAGCTTCACCACCAGAATCAGAACCCCTACGCTTCAATCTCACAAACCCATCTCCAAGTTCATCTCTCAAACCAAACCCATCAAAACCCAATGTACGCTCTCCACCAATCCTTCAAAAAACCGACCAAAGCTACTCTGTCTTCGTGCAAATTCTGTGTCATCAGAAAGCTCAGTTTCAACAACACAAGATCAAGTAGACGAAGCAATTGATGAAGAAGACGATGACCCAACTGCTGAAATGAGCTATCTTGATCCGGAAACCGACCCGGAGAGCATTTCGGAGTGGGAGCTCGATTTCTGCTCCAGACCCATTTTGGATATCAGGGGAAAGAAGGTTTGGGAACTTGTAGTTTGTGACGAATCTCTTTCTCTGCAGCACACCAAGTACTTCCCCAACAATGTCATCAACAGCATTACTTTGAAGGATGCTATTGTGACCATTAGTGAAGAATTAGGGGTCCCTCTCCCAGATAAAATCCGCTACTTCAGGTAAAATTTATTTTTGTATTATGTGTGCTTTCTTGGATTGTGCATACTTGAAACCATGTCACTTGGGAATGGTTCAGTTGGTATGATTGCGTTTTGTTCAATGGATTATAGGTCACAGATGCAGACAATTATAACAAAAGCGTGCAACGAGCTTGGTATAAAACCAATTCCCAGTAAACGGGTTAGTATGTTTTTTCCTTATCAATTGTATAATTTTCGGAACTTGTATGGATAGCGAAAGCATTTTTTTCAATCACACAACTAAGTCGGAGGACATTTTTACTGATCAAGTAACTTAAGAAAGTTCAGCTGATAATAGCCTAGAGAATTTAAATGGCCGGTACAGAGTTGAAGGTTCTTCTTTATTTTTTTGTTTTGTTTTGAAATGTTCAAATACACTTGTTATTTCCTTCTCCGCTAGAGAAAGATACTGAAGATTTGCATGAATTTTATCTGGTGATTGGTACGTAACATATTCGTCTATTGGCATTTAGCCAGCTCTCTCTCTTTTGGAAAAATTGATGTTGATTGTTTTCTTTTGTTTAAAAACTATCACCAGAAAGAAATGCCCTTTGTATTGTGTTGATGTATGTTGGACTACATTAGTGGTAAGACTTATCCGTGCTTAACACTCTTGCTCAGCGGTCTAAGTAGATATTTTCGTGAACTCTAATGTAGGCTCTATAATGATGGAGCATGAGAATGGAGGATGAGGTTAAATGTAGTAAGCATTAGATAAATTTAGTATATGTTTGTCTCACTGACATGGATTTTTCTCCAAACCCAAGTAGTTGAGATTCCTCAATCCATGTATTTCGTTCTTATCCTTAATGATATGAAGCACAGATTACTACCGATGATTGTTCACACCTTTTTTGGAGCCTATGTTAACACAGATGCAGAACTTGCGTGTCTTTTGAACTAGTGTACATTAGTATAGTAATGGAGCTTGCTTTGGTTTTCTGGTAAAACTGCAATGCTCTGTCTACTTATTGTCTTGGAACTTTGCTTCTTTCAGTGTCTCTCGTTGCTTTTATGGTTGGAAGAACGCTACGAGACTGTATACACACGCCATCCTGGTTTCCAGAAAGGATCTAAGCCACTCCTTGCAGTAGATAACCCATTCCCAATGGAACTTCCAGAAAATCTTGTTGGGGAGAAATGGGCCCTTGTCCAATTGCCCTTTTCAGGTAAAGGACTTGCTAATGAAGATTTCTGAGTCTTGACAGATATAACAACTCACATCCTGTCACCTGCCCTAACCATCCAATATTTCTTTTTAACATTTCCTGTTCCCACACTAAATCTAACTCCTGTTTTCAGCTGTTCAAGAGGAAATCTCATCCTTGGACTCAAACCTCGTGTTTAGTGCGAGTTTAGATTTGGATTTGTTGGGGATTGAAATTGATGACAAGACATTGATTCCAGGATTGGCTGTTGCATCTTCACGTGCTAAACCTCTAGCAGGTGTACATTCTCTCCAATACCATCTTCTGGTCTTTCTATATCCATATAATTATTTCTTTCTTCTTATTCATATTCACCCTATCTATACACTGCAAATATCTTTGGATAGATGTTCTTCGTACAGATAGCCTAACATGTTATGTTGCTAGATTGTTAATATAAACCGTTGGTCGAGTGGACTGTAATTTGAATTTGTAGTCCAGATTGACCGTCAACCAACTTACCATGTGAAGTTCTTTGACAAGATCACAGTATCCTACATGGACAAAGACCCAATTTTTTATCAGGCCAGTGATATTCTACCCTTAGAGTGGTAGTGATAAACTTGATGAAGAAGGATTCCGGAGGTTTGCACTTCCTTGCAATCCAGGGGGACTTGGATTCGGATGATTGTGTTGGATTTTGGCTTCTACTAGACTTACCATCTCCACCTGTATAGAGTGTAATCAGTCCAAACAAATTTTAAAAAGAAATTACTCTTACACATTAGTTTCTCGGTTACATCGCTTCATATTCCTTTGCAGCTGAGTTTTCTTATTAAGGTTTTTAGCCGTTCTTGATTTTTATTACTTGGTCTCAGATCACATATGCATCATTCTATTTCTAAAAATGCTGAAAACGGGAAGTGAAACTCATTGTCAGGGGTCTGTATGTGGGTGTGAAGCTTGGGGTTCGACGTGTCATGCAAACTTGGGTTCGGGGTCCCAATCTAAATCCCAGCACCTGAATTCTGAACCACGGCTTCTTAGGGATGGTGGTGGGAGGGGGGCAGCGGAGAGTAGGGTCTGAGGGGAAGAGCGTGGGAGAGAGATAAGATAGAGTTGTCCTTAGTTTGGGAATTTTCTGTAATTGACCCAAAAAAACATAAAACAAACAAAGCAAGCAATGGAACGATGGTATATTCAGTAGCTCTTCAAATTGCTAAAATCTGAAATTCAAATTTACCTAAACGGTTAGAGATGATCTAACTTCTTTTCAGGGAGAAAATATTTTCAAATACACGTTATAGTGTTGCATTCAATAGATGGCCAAGAAACTGCTACAAAGCTACAAATCAAAAGGGCCTAGCCACAAAGGGAAACAGCATGGTGCCCAAGGTTAGAAACCAACCAAATTTAACAGGGCCCAAAAGCAAAACACTGCCAGTGCCAAAGATAAAACAGCTAAAGGAGTTACATGAGCAAGGACATAGGTAGAGCCTAACACGCGTCCATTCCTTCTAGCTGGAAAGATGGAGCTAAATGGTCTGAACAAAGATGGTCTCCCCTGCCCTCCAAGTAATCTTCTTTTTCTCATGCAAGCACTTTTGAGTCCAACGTGCCAGCTTTTGCTTCAACTTCTTGAACATCTTCGTGATTCTGCAGGGGGGGCATAGTTGACAACAAGAAGTTCTGAAAAAAAAAGATGATTTTGGAAAATTACATGAGAAATTCTTGGTGCCATAATATCAAAGAACATAAAAGTGACCTGGTACACAGTACACTACAAAAAGTTTACAAGCGTAGACCACGCTTGTTGCCTAGGATTGGATTGGATACCTTATTAGATTCAAGGTATGTTGAAATAAAAAATGCAGGTAGAGCAGAAGGATTTTTCATCGTGTGGGAAGTTATAAGGTTTCCTTCATTACTAATCCATCTTCTACCTCCAACTTGGACCAAGTGCGGAAGATGGCCTCCATTTCTTCCTTCAACATACCTTGAATCTAGTTAGTTATCCAATCCAATCCAATCATAGGCACCAAACACAGCCACACAGTAATAACAAATTAGGCAGATATACCAAACAGATAAACTGTTCAAAGGACTAACTTTCTGAAAATCAGCTGACAATTGGTTAAAGGAGAGGTATGAATCAATAAAGCTTCTTACTCTTCCATAATTCCGTGACCTTTCCCTGTGAACATTTGGTCTGCGGGGGCAATTTCAACTGGTTCAAGAACTTGTGGCTCAACAAGACCACCACGTGGTTCTGCACCACTAGAAACACTTGAAATCGGTTCCATCCCATATCCTGCCTGAATACTAGTTTGTGGAAGCTGAATAGACAAGATATGCACAACTGAGTTAATAAACCACGCAAGATATAAATTTTGGAATTTATGAAACAGAAAGGAAAGAATGTGTGCAAAAACTCACCAGTCTTGCAGAAGACGGACTGTGGCGTGAAGTGGCAGGGCCAAGGCTGTGACATTGAAGAAAATGTAGAAATTAGAAGACAACAGAGTGGTAACCAAGGGTTCTACCTTCACGAGCTTTTCTTTCATACAGCTTTTCTTACAGAAACCATCAAACAACTAATTAACCGAAACACTACAGAAAGCATATGAATACCAAAGACCTATGAAGTACTTAATTTTGCAAACACCAATGGCAATGATGCATGTTTTCAGAAGGAAACGCCAAATGATAAAAAGCTGTATCTCAAAGCTGCAACAGTATGAGTGTCTGATCTAGCAAAATGATAAAAAGCTGTATCCCAAACACGTAAATTTCTCAAAACCCACTAACATTGACAATGCCTTAAAGAAAACGTGATGAATCAACATATGCAGAGATACAGATAAGAACAGTTGATTGAATTCCTGAATTGGTCAAATTACGGTCATAATCTAACACTTCAACCTTATCTAAATTAGAAAAAGAGAATAAATAAATAAAGTAGAGTTCTTACGCTTTCTTAGTCTTCTTCAGGCTCTGAGCTTGTGGGTTGTTGTGAAGGACATGTGAGCCTTTACCGCTAGAAAGTGCATACGGGGCAAAGCGTTCCGCAATATCATCCCGATTTACAGTCCGAATTGATTCCATACGGGGCAAACCACTCTGCAATGGACGAAGATATGGAGAGTGAAATGCGGATGGACGAAGATATGGAGAGTCAAATAATAATAACCTGCATAATCTTCACATGATTAAATACATAATCATCATACTACCAAAAGAAGAGATATATAATCTCCACAAAAGTCATTCACCCATTACTCATCAATCACAATGACTGTAAGCCATGCTCCATAAGATTAAATACATCTTTTTTTTCTTCATCAGTCATGATAAAGAAGACCCTCAGCAAATCGTGCTCTTTGGCTAAAACGTTGGTATGATTCATATTCTACAATCAGCACAAAGAGCTAAGATATAACAAAAATCAGAATGCCTGGCAATTCCTCCTACTCTCCAACACAGTAATGCAAAAAAGTCAGCACACACCACTGATAAATGTACCAAAATGAAATCAGAGCATCAAAACAACATTTGGATATGTTTCCAGACAAAACTATAATGTGTATTTCAGCAGTGAAAGTCAGAGTATTGATATATAGAACACAAACTAGAATAGATCACAATATGAAACCACAAAATCATTGATGCCAATACCATAATGTGTATTTCAGCAGTCAATGTCAATATATTGTATATGCAACCCACAAATTTGATATTGTCATCACGCTCATAGAAAGAGAGAAAACTAGATACTGTCATTGTAATTCTTCCATGATTTCTAACATTGTTATACAGTCAGAGGGTTAAAGTTAGCAGGAAATGAGAAAAAATAATCAGCTCAAAACACAACAGAAAATTATAAGAAACATGAAGAAAAATCCAACAGAAAATTATAAGAAACACAACAGAAAATTATGTGAAAAGTTTCTTCTGCTTTAAATTATAAGCCGTGTAAACAAAGCTAAAGAACAAAAAAATCAACAGAAAATTGAAGAAACATGAAGAAAAATCCAAGCAACAATAACCATTGATAGAATTATGGAATGGAAGGGAGACAGAAGATAGAAGAAGAAGAAAAAGGTAGATAGATAGATAGATAGAATGACTTACATAACACAAGGCGTTTCTGCTGCTTCAGAGAGGCTGTGTATGCAATGTTAAGATGAAAAAGAAGTTGGAGTGTCTTTGAACGTGAGTTCCTATTTTTTTCAGGGTTTGGGTTGTTTTGGAATTATAGTAAAATGGTAAGGGTATTTTTGGAAGTTACTATGGGAAAACATGAATGGGAATCGTATCGACTACCCAAAAAACAACGGGCTAATTTCGTTAATAGTGGCCCATGCGAACGCAAGATAGACGTGGGACATGCTACTTTTGTCCAAAGATAGTCTTTAGGACAAAAGGGCCCAAAGATGGAAAAATAAAACGCACCAACAATAGAAAGAGGAAGCCCATCCTCCCAAAGCCTGGGATGGAAAAGCCCAGGTGCAAAAACTAATAAATCAAGTGAGTTAAAAATAAAATAAAATAAAAATTAGGTCGGCTATTTACAAGGGTCATAATGAATCAACGGAGAGAGAGAGGCGAATTCATAGCTTTTTGGGGCTATCCCAGTTTCTCAGTTTCTCAGTTTCTCAGTTTCTCAGTTCAGTGGGTGAGCAGAAGTGATAAAATTATCTGGTTTTGGTGATGAATCCATATGGGACTTAAACAAGATTTGAAACAGAAAACAAAATAAAAATTTGATCATCAGAAGAGAAAGAGAAAAAGAAAGGAGAGAGTAGTAGAAAAAACCAACCCATTTGAATTTCGACGTAATCCGGTGTCAACGATGTTGACAATGGCAGTTGACGATGGTCATTGATGATTCGGGCCTGTGTGTGTTTCAGACCGAGCCAATACTGCTTCAATTTCCACCCAGATGTCATTTCAGAAGAAACCAGCAAAGATTTGAAGAAGAAGAAAAGCAAAACCGAAGAAAACATAGCATCTGGAAAATGCAGAAAGGTCAATGAGTACAAAAGCACTCAAGCACTCAACAAGGTGCTATAAACAAAGGAAAGTACAAAAGCACGCCGATTCGCTCGACGGACACCGCGACTCTTTGTCGTGTCCTCATCTGGACAGCTTTGATGTATATATATTATTGTTTTATACGACATCACTTTCTTTTTTCCATTTTTAATTCATCTGATTTGACCGAAAAAAAACAATCATCTGATTCTCTGCAACAACTGAAAAGCCATTGTTTTCCTTGTATTTTTTTGGTTGGTCGAATTTGTCAATAGACTTTATAGCCCTTAATGTTGAATTGGTTTATAGCCCTTAATGTTGAATTCGTTCTCACTGGCACATAAGTATAAAATAATAAACGGGTTAATTATTTTATTAGTCCCTGAATTTAGACTCGATTTGCATTTGAGTACCTCGATTTCCAAAATGGTTCTTGTGGTCCTTTAACTTCACTTTCGTTAGGACAAATGGTCTTGTCGTCAATTTTGTTAACTTTTTCTGCTAAATACAGGGGCAAAATGGTATCTTTATATTAAAACAAAAAAAATGAATAAAAAATTATATCTTTAAAATAACAATAAAATCAAATTAAATAAAAAACCAACCAAAAAAAAAGAAAAATTAAGTTTGGGGGGAGTAGAAATCGAGATAGAGGGGGGGAGAGAGAGTTTAATTTTAATTTTTTATTCATATTTTAATCAATTTTGATACAAAAATACCATTTTGCCCCTGCATTTAACAGAAAAGTTAACAAAATTGACGACAGGACCATTTGTCATAATGAAAGTGAAGTTAAAGGACCACAAGAACCATTTTGGAAATCGAGGTACTCAAATGCAAATCGAGTCTAAGTTCAGGGACTAATGAAATGATTAACCCAATAATAAACAAGTAGTTCTCGTTCAATTGCAAATATGATATGAGTGTTTTAGGCAATTCATTCCAAGCTGTGTTGTTCAACAAGTAGTGACAGGACCCGATCCAAATTCCACTTTGGAATCTGAGCCGAACCCTGTACGTGTCCGACACCTGGCAAGTGTCGAGCACTTTTGACCGAAATGCCCTTCTAAGTTTCCCCAAAATTCTTTTCTCAAGTTTGACTCTTGCCGAAAATTCGACAAAGTCTCCCCTGTAATTCACTCGTTTTCCAAAAATTTTACCTGTATAAGACATGATTTTTATACTCCCAACGTTTAGTATGCACAATAATACCATACAAGCAACCAAACATCAAAGCTTTATGGCCTCAGGCCTCTCAAAGTCAAATAAAATGTTTTGCCAACAGAAACTGATCCACACCTTTGAAACAACATGAATACGCTAATAGATTTCAAAATAATTTAATTGAACAGCTTTTCAATCACTTTATCTCGCGGCTGCACCTGGTAACTCTAGGTTGCCTACGTACCCTTAACAAGGGATCAAGTCACACGTAGTTCTTTTACTTTTTACATTGCACTTGTATATCTATGTCAACTGTTAATTTTCAATGTAAATGCAAATCAGTCCAAGTTCTCATGTTGGGAATATACTCAATAATATTCATAAACTCTAAGGCGATACTTTTCAACTTTCCCAATTCTCAAAACAGTTCAAACTCATAATGTAAGTAGGCCACTCACTGAACTTCTTTTAACTCATAAATCGATTTATATATGCTTGCGTATTTTATTTTATCTGTACATATATGTAACTCAAACAAGCTCTAAAGGCACTTTTAACGTTTCCTTTGAAACTCATATAAGACTCGTATACAAATATATATATAAAATTAATTTATTACAGATAAATAGGAAAACGAGAAATTTCTTAAATAGTATTGAACACGTGAAAACTTAATGTCAATATCAATAATTTAGATAAAATATGTTTCCCTCCTTTACATGTAAATATAAACTCATCACTTAAGAAAATAATTATGAATTGTATCAAATCCTTAAAACTTAGAAAACACTATGCTCTCCACCTAGGCGTACCGCCATTTATATTCCGTCAATTCCTTTAATATGCCGTCAATTCCAATAAGAATCCATCAATTCCAATACCCTGTCAGTTACATTCTCACAGGCCTCGGAAACACAAAGTCACCCGAGCCGCATTCCTTGCAGGCCTCAGGGGACCCTTAGTCAACCTGAGCTACATTCATCGCAGAACTCGGGGGACATGTAGTCAGCCTGAGAATGCACATCCTCGCACCACATGATTCATGCGTCCCCGAAACTCATGGGGCAATGTCATAAATGACAAATCCGTTTCAGAGGCAACTTGGGTCCTGAGGTGGGTTTGAAAACTATATTCTAAAACTTATCCTGAAATTCCTCTTATTTTACAAACCATACTTAAATTCTTTTCTCAACTTCCCAAAAATCAGTTCTCAACTGACTTGAAATTTACACTACATAATGTTGAGAACTAGTATCCATAATTCTGCATCTTCCCCTACTGAGTGTATATATTTATATATTTATATATATATATATAAAATATAGATATGCACTTATATACTTAATTAACTTATTATTCACGTCGAAATCTGATTAACAAACCATTTTATCTTAATAGTAATAGATAACTAAATAAATAAATATATAAATAAATAAATAAATCAGTAAAGCCGCCAATTTCCCATCAATAAATAAACAACCACAACCCCTAGAGATTTCACCATTTCCAATAATGCATAATCTTCAAATATCGGAAATAACATTTAGTAATACTATGAAGTACTATAATATAATCTCAAACATCAAAGTAATAGAAATATTCATAATTAGCAATTTATATATATAAATATATTCATATATATTTTCATTCCATATTCATATAAACCCATAATGGGTTTCATAGTAATTTAATCAAGGAAAAGTAATAACTTTTAAAGGAAATCCCATATCGAATCAATTTCCACTCTAAACCCATTACACAAGGAATTCCATACGATAACATAAAGATAAATCCCAAAATCCCTCCAATATCAACATAGCTCCGCTAACAGTTAAGACTCGTTAATAAGGTCGTTCTAATACTTCTCAAAGGGAGAAGCTACTTCGGAAGACTCATGGTCAACCTAGGGGTCAAATTATCCAAACTTGATCAATCGGGCCTGCGGGGCCCACAACCTCTATCACCAATCCGGGAGTTCCTATAGGTTCAACACACTTTTCTAAACCTACCCTGCAAGTTTGGCCCAAACCGAACGGTCGAATCGCTCACGATCGTAAGATCGAACGGTTATTGTAAAACGCAAACTTTAACTTATTGAATCGGAACATTCGGGGCTCCGATTCACGATCCGCGAAATCCTACACAATCCTAGGAATGCCTAGATCAATTTTAAATTGGAGTCGATCCAACGGCCCGAACATATCGAACCCGGATAATGCCTAATATGCGATATTCGATCGACGATTCAACGATATCCAAATTCATATATGAGCATACCTCGTGCTCGGGACGACATTAGGAGTAATTTTAGGACCCTAAGACCGGCCAAAAATGGCCCACGCGCCGGCAGCGCGTGGGTGTCCAAAGCGATTCCGGCGGTCGGAAAATCTCCAAACTGCTGGTCAAGACTTATACCTACATGATCACCATATAGAGTGGAGCAACTTTTGTTCTTGGACCTATCCCAAAAAGTTGACGGAAGTGGCCGGAATTGGAGGCCTAAAACCGGTAGATTTTCAATAGCTTATTTAACTACCAAAAAGCATAAATTTCTCCTAATTAACACAACCAGCAGCTAGATAATGTCGAGAGGATAGAGAAGCATACCTAATTCGAAAGATTTGGTGGCCGGAAGTGAGAGAATGAGCTCCCGAAAGATTTCAAAAAAAACTGTTGGAACCGGCCTGTTTCGC